CGGACGGTCAGAAGCATATTTACTGTAAACATAGAGATAAAAACAGTCATAAATGGATAAATACGAGGACGAGGTTTTGTGTTCACTGACTCTTTAGAAACATGTGTATCCTTCAACCAGCGAACATGTGGTCACGAGTTTCTGTGACTTTTCATTTGGGGTTTCAAAGCTGAGAAGTCGTCACAGTTTGAGGCTTCAGTCTTCTGATCTGTTATTTTAGTCTTCTAATCCAAATGTTCTTGTTTATTAACCTTTATTTAACCAGGCAAAGCCCACAGAGAGCCCAGAACTCTTTAGTAAGGGAGGCCTGGGCCTGAACGCAGAATAAAATGAACATATTTGGACTGTAGGAGGAAACTGGAGTGCCCGGAGAAAACCCACGTAAACACGAGGAGAACATGCAAACTCCACACAGAAAGATCCTAGGTCCAAACCCAGGAATAAACCCAGGACCTTCTTAATGTGATGGAACAGTGCTAACCACTGAGCCATCATGCTGCCCCCGAAGTTGGTGTTTAGACTCTGTGGGCCATGAAGCATGAAGTGGGGGTTCCCAGATAAAATCCAAAAATTAATTTACAAGTGAAAATATTTTTGCCATATTTTCACTGACTGTTATCATCCATCCATCCATCCATCCATCATCTTCCATTTGTTCCGACGTCATGTCATGGGGGCAGCATCTTGAGCAGGGAGGCCCAGACATCTCTTTCCACAGCCTCCTCTTCCAGCTCTTTTGAGACAACCCCAAGGCGTTCCCAGGCCAACCGAGAGACTTAGTCTCTCCAGCATGTCCTGGGTCTTCCTTGGGGTCTCCTCCCAGTCGGACATGCCCGAAGCACCTCCCTAGGGAGGCGCTCAGGAAGCATCCTTACCAGATGCCCGAACCACCTCAACTGGCTCCTCTCGACGTGGAAGAGCAACGTTTCTACTCTGAGTCTCTCCCAGATAACTGAACTTCTCATCCTGTCTCTAAGGGTAATCTCTAATCATTCCAGCTACCCTGCAGAGAAAACTCATTTCAACCATTTGTATCCAAGAGCTCATTCTTTCAGTCACTACCCAGAGTTTGTGACCATAGGTGAGGGTGGGAACATAGACAGCTGGTAAACAGAGAGCTTTGCCTTACAACTCAGCTCTTTCTTCACCACAACGTACCAGCCCAAAGTCCGCAATACTGCAGAAGCTGCACCAATCCATCTGCCAATCTCACGCTCCATACTTCCCTCACTCGTGAACAAAACCCTGAGATACTTGAACTCCTCCACTTGAGGCAGAACCTCACCCTCGATCTGGAGAGAAAAATTACCCATTTCTGATTGAGGACCATGGCCTCAGATTTGGAGGTGCTGATTCTCATCTCAGCCGCTTCACACTCGGCTGTGAACTACTCCAGTGAGAGCTGAAGATCACGGCACGATGACGCCAACAGGACCACATCATCTGCAAAGAGCAGAGATGGAATCCCTCCGTCCCCTGGCTCCAACGAGAACTTCTGTCCATAAAGGTTATGAACATAATCTGTGACAACGTGCAGCCCTGGCGGAGTCCAACTCCCACCCTGAAGGGGTCCGACACTATCCACAATGCGAACCAAACTCTCGCACCGCTTGTGTAGGGACTGAACAGTCTGTAACAACGGGCCCTCAATCCCATACTTATGGACATATACTTTGTGACTGTTACAAAGAATGGAAATCAATTAATAAAACAAGTTGTTGTTTAGGTTGTTTGTGATGTCATTTAGTTCTTGTTTGAAAGTGTTTTTAACAAAGTGAATTAGAATCAATAAAAGATGGACAAGTCTTTGTCACTATCA